GTTGGCCATGGTGTCATATCTTGTGTCACAGTATACTAGTAGTCTTTACAAGTTCGTTAAGTGCTTTCGCAGTTTTTCCTGTTATTACCTTAGTGCTAGGATTATCATTTTCATAGGTGTTGTTTCTTCTCACTCCATTTCTCTTTATTAGTATCTTTCTGTATTGTTTTTCATTAGTACAACGTAGCTTCCTGAGGAGTGTTGTGCGAAAACTAGTTCGAAGTACGATTTTTTGTTCATCATTTTCTCCATATCACATTTTTTCTTTCTTCCATGTTCTTCACTGCCTTCGTATCCACTCGTTTTTTGAATACAATAAAAGCCTTTGTGAAATGTCGGTTCAGCTCGTTCTGTTGATCGCAATTCTAAAATAATAATAATAATAATAAGTAGTCCTAAGTGGTGCTGAGTTACCATAACTAAACAGAAGAAAATATTCTTTCATACCACACCAAGTCTCTCTGCACGCAAACAACAAAACTACCCAATATAATGGTACACAAGCATAATGGAAGTGAGATAATGCATGTAACCTCGTTCTTAAATAGTTAGTGCATGGCAGGGAGGGTCTTATGGCTTGTTTGTGCCCTTCAGGGTAGCCCTCGGGCCTACGGCCCTCAGGCTTACCTGTCGGGCACTAACAAGCCATAAGGCCCTCCCTGCCATGCACTAACCTATAATTCAAACTCGGATGTTGAGCCATACATAAATGTAGAAAGGGAAAAGACATTATGGATACGAGTTAAGAGTAACTCTCCATCACTGTAACATGACACTTTATACAGTCAGAAAGTGCAATAACTAGGCACAAAACTGACAGAGTACTGAGACATTCGACGTCCTGACACCTGGCTTCAACACATCTCCATAGCGCTAACCAACAGCCTTCCAACTTGGAAAGTTTAAGGTTATGGATAGACCAAAGAGTACCAAAGTATCAAGCCTGAAAAACAACTTGCGTGCTGGAATTCAGGAAGTTCTTTCCTGGATGTCGTCCTGGAGATTGTCCCCAAATCTATCAAAAACAAAGATCATGCTCTTCCCGCCCCAGCCAGAGTTCACAACCCTCATCCATGCCAACTTTCCAAATCCAATTGACATAGTGTCTTCTCACAAACACCTTGGCATTGTGATTGACTCTGCACTCTCTTGGGTACCCCACATCGAATATATCTGTAAAACATCAAGTAAATCCTTAAGAATTCTCTCACCCCATTGCTCCTACCTCCCACTTTCTTGCAAGCTTGATTTTTATCTAGCCTACCTTCGCCCAATATTTGATTATGCAGATACGTCTTGGGTTGGATTATCCTCCTCCGCTGCTGCAAAGCTTGAAATACACCACAAGAAAATCCTCAAAGTTCTCCTCCGTCAACCCCACATGCTCTCATCATCCGCCCTTTATAAAATCGCTCACACAATCCCGTTATCACATGGACGCAGTGCACACCTGGCTTCTCTTGTCCATTCTATTAAGCTTGAATTGTGCCCACCTCATCTCATGTGTTTTAATTGGTTCTCTTCTCTAAGAACTAGAAACTCGCTCTTACTCCCTAAGTGTAACTCATCCACTCTTTTGCGCTCCCCTCCCTTTATTGCTTATTCTGCTGGGCTCACTCTACCCAGAAAAGTTAAGGATCTGACCTCACTCCGCCTGTTTAGTGGAATCCCTGATTTAGTACGACATAAATAGCTTATTATCCACATGTCCTTTGCGTCTCTGTGTTTTTCACTGTTTTTATTTGACATTATCATTCTTTACGGAGTTGTTGTTGCTGTTCATTTTGCTACTCTTTCTTTTTCCCTCCCCTTACTTTTATTTATCGCCGTGGTTGGCCATCACCCACTCTCTTAACATTGGCCGGTGTTTCCACCGAGTCTTGAGATGTTGTAATAAATATAATAAATATAAATTCAAAAGGAGAAAAACTATAACAAAACAATGTAATGCTACTTGGTCAGTTGTCGCCCAAACACCAGCATACTCCAATGCCACCAAGCGCTACCCTCTCTGTCTGCGTGAGAAGCTGGAGATCTTGCATGCTGACATAAGGGTGAACATCAACAAGCGATCGAAGCTAGTGGCCAAGTGCAGACATGAGAACAAATTCTACCTATCTAACTTCACACCTCCAGTTACATAAACCAGGATTACACCTGATGTCTGGCGTTGATCTTGCAAGTTCATGCATAGAATCACCGCTTGACCTTATTTGCGCTTAAATTCTCTGATTCCACTAGGACCTTACCACACTATATCAAGAACATTCATTGAGTTTTTGTAATCATTGCTGTCTGATGATCGCCACAGGCGTGAAACTCGGAGTCACAGCCAACCCAAGCTCCGTATCCCATTCTATTTCTCTTGTATGAAGCTCTGCACCCCGGTGCATTGAGCACTCTTTCGAGGTCCACACCCAACTTTCCGTGTGTGACCGGCTCCCTATCTAGGTTGAGCACTCGGTGTGATAACCGAACAAGAATGGACCATCCGAAGCTGTTCCACCTAGATTACTCATTGAAGAACATACCTCTACCAAGCGAGCAACAATACAAACTGAAGCTGGTGGAGATGACAGAGAAACTAATCAAGAGAATGCGCTGGAAGGCCTTGTTCTTTCTCAAGGGTGACCAACCTCAACATCAGGATGAAAACAGTAACCACGGATTCAAGACGAGGACATGCCCACCCCAAGTGGATGACATGAAAAAGTTCGAGGAAGACCTGTGGTCCCTGGTCGAGAACGTTAGATTCCGCAGGGTGAGCGGCGAGCTCCAGCGCAAGCTCCAAGATGACCGGACCAGGATCAAATCATCACAGAACATACTCGCCCCTGCAGATAAGACGAGGAACATCTACGAAGTCAGCCCTGACCTGTACACCAAACTACTGAACGACAACGTCACGAAGCACTACAAGCATGCCCCTGACAACGCCCAAAACGACATCAACGAAGAAGCAAAAGGCATCGCAGAGAGCCTCAACATCGCTAACCGAGCCGAGACCATGGCGAAGAAAAACGCGTACATAACCCTAAAAGATCACAAAACCAACTTCTCACAAAGTTTACCATGCAGACTCATCAACCCCTCAAAAAGTGAGATCAGGAAAGTCAGCCAGAATATCCTGGCGAGGATCACCCAAGAGGTACGACACAAACTGAAACTAAACTCCTGGAAGAATACCGCCGCAGTCGTCAACTGGTTCCGAGAAATAGACAGTAAAGCGGCATGCACGTTTGTCTGCTTCGACATAGTGGAATATTACCCAACAATCTCCCAAGACCTGCTGGAAGAATCCATTGCATTCGCAGCACAGCATTCCGACGTCAGCCAACAAGATCGAGATATCATCATGCATGCGCGAAAGTCGTTCCTGTTTAGTAGTGATGCAGCATGGATGAAAAAGGACGGAAGAGGCCTATTTGACGTCGCAATGGGTTGTTTTGACGGAGCAGAGACATGTGAGCTAGTGGGAACTTATGCACTGTCAAAGCTAGCTGATAAGTTCGACAGTGATAACATCGGACTCTACCGCGACGATGGGTTGGCGGTCTTGAGAGATGCGACAGGCAGTGCAGCAGACAGAGGAAGAAAGGAGATATGCCGTATCTTTAAAGATCTTGGGCTGAAAATTACCATCGATGCCGGTGTCACATAGTTCTATTCCCCCCCCCCCCCCCCTAGCGCTTGGCCCCCGGGGGAAAAGTACTATGCACCGGAGTATAGGTATTGGACCCCCGGGGAACTTTACTATGCAGTGTTTGTACCATCGGGAACTTTACTATGCAGCAGAATGCCCCCCCCCCCACACACATCACTGAACCAGGTACATGTACATGTACGTAGAGCACATGACCACATGTACAGTACACGGTTTCGCCAAAAAACTGCTTTATTTCTCGCCCACAAGAGCTTCCCTGGCGATAGTCTTGATCCGAGGCAATGTTTCGGTGAGTAGTAAGTGCGGGGCGGGTTCTGGTGCACTTTTTGACCTTTGACCTTTGGGCCAAATAAGGCACACTGTGTCGGTCGTGCTTGGTCTGGCCCCGGGACTCCCCAGAGTTTGACCTTTGACCCCTGGCATGCCATAAATGTGCCATAAAGGTTCTTTTCCGTGGCGAACGTGCACTTGTGCACGTTCGGTGCATTCGCACCGGGGAGTAGTAAAATACGTACTATTCCCTGATTTGCACATCGAAGATGTGCATTGCATGACATATTGCGCATGCGTGCATACGCACGCGGAGCGTGTGACCTTCAGAGACCCTGCTTGCGGGAAAGACGCAGTACAACACAAGGTGTACTAGTACACGTGTCATTATACTACTCCCTGATTCGCACTTCGTAGATGTGCAGCAAACAAGTTCGTTAACGTGCCATGCACTCGTTTTATTCGCACATCGTAGATGTGCACTGACAAGTTGCCCATACAGAGCATGCCTAATCGGCTTTTCGATCGGTTAAGAGAATGTTCAAATTCGGCCATATTATGATCTCCAAGATCAGAATTCGGCTCAACATAGTACTTGAAGTCACCGTTCCCATTACGTCATGTACATTTACATACACCCTGTTGAAGCACTGAAGCATCGGGTTTCGGTGAATTCAACATGCGAATTTTTGAAAAATCGGCGAAAAGATGGGTAATTTCTTCAAAACCACTGTGTTCGGCGAATTTTTCGCCCGGCCGATTAGGGAAATGCCTACTGTCCATGCAGGTCCATTAGATGCAAAATTCTATTTTGATCAGGATACAGTTAGAATCAACCGGCTCCGCCCGCAGCATCATGCATCAAAACAATTATTGAAGGGGTGTCACAGTGAAGCAGTGTTGCTACGCACCGCAAATCCCCTCTGCACTGCACCGAATCTATACTGGAGAATCCAGAGTGACCAGCAAAGAGTCACAACCCACAGGTATCCAGTCACACTAAGGCATATCCACCATTCCCCACATATTCACTGTAACAAAACACAATACTGTTTACTATATTAAATGCACTTTTATTTAAATGGACTTGGATGAGTCTGTAGAAGAGAACACAATGCACGCACACGCACGCATGCGCGGGCACACACACACACACACACACATCTAGGTTATAGTGCTATACACATATCTAGTGTTTAGGAAGCACAAGAATGTGTCGAAGCACCCACACATACCCCTTCATGCAGTGTACTTCAGTAGCCCAACACATTACGACTGCACAGGACCATCATAAAACACATTACGACTGCTATAGCACAGGACCATCACAAAACACTACACACTGTTACTACACTACACACACAGTTACTACACTACGCCTGTTACAAGTACTTACAAATAATTTTGAAACAAATGGCACATCCCGAAGACGGCAGCTCCAGACCTTCATACATCATCATCTGTAAAACCAAGCATGAGCGCACACAAACACTATTAGTGTCACGAATACGGAAGCAGGGTAAGACAAGAGGATACGAAACAAGTAAGTATCGCTATAACGAGGGGGATAAGTATACATGTAGACAGAGCAGTGCTTACTTACAGGGTCCTAATACGCTCCATGGCGCCCCGGTAGTCGGACTGCAACAGCAGCCCGACCTGCCGGCCCTCCCTGCCGGCCCTCCCAGTAACGGGTTCGATGGGCCGCACCCGCCAGGTGTGCGGCCGCGGCTTGGCCTCCCACCAGCCTTTCTCCACTGTAAAAACGAAAGAAACCGCAGAAAGCACAGTGTCATAGAGCTCTTTTGTTGGGGGAGAGAGCTAGGAGCACTGCACACTTATCATTTGTCACAATATATGATGAGAAAGAGGCGGCGCTTGACGCACCGCCTCAGGTGCTGGCATAGGGGTATTACCCCTGACATTCGAACGCTACAGTGACAAGTGAAAGCCATTTGGACTGTAATGATACTGAAGTGAAGGTGTGAACCGCAAAGCAAGACCGTTACCTTCTTCCTGTCGAATTCGCTCCCCAGCTGCATACCGACATCATCCGCTAAAACCCAATCATACCAAGTAACGCAAAGGTCATCAGTTGACCTTTTGGACTTTTCAACTCTTATCCAAAACCACCAAGAGGAAAAAACCAGGATGAAGAAGACGTCAGTTGTAGAAGCGTTTGTGGAGGAGTTGTTACATTATTCTCAGTAAATAGATATGGCTGATACATTCGGCGTAGACTTGGACGACCGGTCGTGGTCTCTCACCACGGGTCCTTTACTAATAGCAAGATGGACGCCAATAAGAACTGTTGTGGAGTTGGCAGATCAAAACGCGCAGCAAGAAATTTGGCACGTCGATGGTAGACTCCATCGGGAGGACGGACCAGCTCTTGTTGATAGTAGGGGAGTGTCCGCCTGGTGCTATGGAGGTCGCCTTCATCGCGTTAATGAACCTGCTTGGATAGGACGGGGTAGCATCGAGTACTACCTCAACGGTGTCCGTCATAGAGCCGGCGGTCCTGCAGTCAGTTATTGTGACGCCACATGCTGTATTCTACGGTGGTATCACCACGGAAGGCTCCAGAGGGAGAATGCGCCAGCGGTGATACGCAGGGAAGGTAACAATCGTGTACGGGAGTGGTACCGATACAACCTTCGGCATATGGAAGATGGACCTGCTTTCATCTCTCAGGAGGAGGAGGGTATCTATCAGTGGTACCTCAACGGGGTGTATTACGGTAGCCACCATCAAGACCAGGCAATACACCCCATGGAGCTGCAGTACATCAATATAGTGCCTACTAAGGTAGACTCGTCAGCAATAAGTCATGAGCCCATTTGTGTGATTTGTCAGGATACCCTGGACCGTCCTCTATCCAAGTTGGAGTGCGGTCATGAATTTCACTTCCACTGTATGAAGGAGTGGATCAGTTCTGCCCCCAGCCCAACTTGCCCAACCTGCCGCTACTCCATGACTGCTGAGGACTTGGTTGAGTTCTTGTAGCAATACATGACACAGTTGCATATAGGCGACTACGAATGACCAGTCATGTGTTACAGATGGACACGGACACGCCACCCTAAGTAGCCATGAGCGGCTATTTGGACAAGGACAACAAAGCACCTCGTGGGCGGCCAAGGTTGACACTAGCCACAAGTCTGGTCGCTCAGTTGAATAAGCTGGGTGTGCCCATGAAGACCATGGAAGACCTTTCCAGGTGCCGGCAACATGCGGAGGACAAGACAGACTGGAAGAAACTGTGCAGCTCGACACTCGAGGACAAATCAGTATCAGCAGCTACTACACCTTGCTGATGATGCTCACAAGACAGAAGTGGGAAAAAACACTGAATTTCTTTATTTAGTGCTCAACTACGCAAAATGTGTTTTATTATTATTATACATGTTCAACTGTACACAGACTGGCTGACTGCCATTCTCTACCACACATTACCGGACACTGTTGTGGTTGTCGTCGTTATCGTCGTCGTCATTGTTGATGTTGTTGTCGGTTGTTGTCGTCGTTATCGTCGTCGTTGTTGATGTTGTTATTGGTTGCTGCTGTCGGTTGTTGCCGGTTGTTGTTGGTTGTTGTTGGTTGTTGTTGGTTGTTGTTGGTTGTTGTTGATGTTGCTGGCAGTTGTTGTCGTCGTTATCGTCGTCGTTGTTGATGTTGTTATTAGTTGTTGCTGTCGGTTGTTGGTTGTTATTGGTTGTTGCTGTCGGTTGTTGGTTGTTATTGTTGATTGTTGTCGGTTGTTGTTGGCTGTTGGATGTTGTTGTCGGTTGTTGTCGGTTGTTGTTGGTTATTGTTGGTTGTTGTTGGTTGTTGTTGGGCGTTGTTGGTTGTTATCGGTTGTTGTCAGGTGTTGTTGGTTGTTGTTGGTTGTTGTTGTCGGTTGTTGTCGGTTGTTGTCGGTTGTTGTCGGTTGTTGGGTGTTGTTGTCGGTTGTTGGGTGTTGTTGTCGGTTGTTGGGTGTTGTTGTTGGTTGGTGTTGGTTGGTGTTGGTTGTTGTTGGTTGTTGTCGGTTGTTGTCCGTTGTTGTTGGTTGTTGTTGGTTGTTGTTGGCTGTTGTTGGTTGTTGTTGTTGTTTGTTGTTGTTTGTTGTTGTCGGTTGTTGGTTGTTGTTGTGTGTTGTTGTTGGTTGTAGTTGGTTGTTGTCAGTTGTTGTTGGTTGTTGGATGTTGTTGTCGGTTGTTGTCGGTTGTTGTTGGTTGTTGTTGTTGTTGTTGGCTGTTTTTGGTTGTTGTTGGTTGTTGTTGTTTGTTGTTGTCGGTTGTTGGTTGTTGTTGTTGTTTGTTGTTGTTGTTGGTTGTAGTTGGTTGTTGTCAGTTGTTGTTGGTTGTTGGATGTGGTTGTCGGTTGTTGTCGGTTGTTGTCGGTTGTTGTCGGTTGTTGTTGGTTGTTGTTGGCTGTTGTTGGCTGTTGTTGGTTGTTTTTGGTTGTTGTTGGTTGTTGTCGGTTGTTGTCGGTTGTTGTGTTTTAATCGTTATTTTGTTCATTATCCAGGAGGATGTTGCTATGATCCAGTACCATTTTTCGCATATATGAGACAAGTTTGTGTAACGTTAGTGTGACGTGGGGTATGCTGATTGGATGTAAGGTGGTGAGAGTATGCTGATTGGCCGATAACAATTAGTGGAAGGGATAAAGTAATGCGCTGCTTGTGCAGCGTAACCAAACACATGGTCTGTGGGAAACACCCTAGTAAAATAAATAAGATAATAATAACATGAATTGCCCATGGCACTTGAGAGACTCGAGCCCCGCCACCTTGTACAAATCGGACTTGGTAGCTTCATACTGGAACTTAATCTTCTTCTTTTTGAGGTATGACCGTACAAAACGCGCTTGGATTTTTTCATTTTATTTTTATTTTTTTATTTTTTTCATTGCAACTTTTTTAGCAGATAGCAACCTTTTTAGCAGACTCGTGAAACAACGGTGAATCTGGAATGAATAAATGGTCCATGTCAAAGGCATGACGAGTCACGAAGTCTTCACATTCATGATGGAACGTTGTCATGATTGACGCATTCCTTGATGGTGCGCACATGAAATCACCCTGGCTCATCTTTTCCAACTCCATTCTTTTCACATCCTGCAACCCATACCCTACTAGTATCAGTGGGGATCCTAGAATCAGAAGAGGCAAGGCAGCACTCTTCCGTGGATGTATTACTCGACACAACACCACCCATACTTGTTTTCTAGAAGTTTTGACTATAATGATATATTGCAGCAGGAAGTAGTATACAGTCAAATAGGATAGGATAAGAATGAATGATCAACTGTCTGATAAAGAGAGCAGTTCATTAAAGACTTATTGGAAGGTCTCTACCAGCTGATCGTCATGTTGGACGGCGACACTGCATAATGATATGAAGCTCTCAGTTAGCTGTTTCAGTTCCGTGGTAGAAAGTGTCATGTGTGCGTCCAGAGAACGATGAAAACATCTGGGGTCCACGTTGATGCAGACGATTGGAGCAACAGCAAGACGTACCTTCAACGCTTGCTCGTCAATGTCGAGGGAGACTGCCCCGGGGTAGATGAAAACATCTTGTTCCACATCCAGTTCGAACCAGCTGGTCGGGACTAGCTTGCTTTCACCGTTGATGTACATCCGACATTGACCGTAGGACGAACGTGATGGGTAGAAGTTGGTCTTGATCTTCTCCACACGTCCTCTTCGGAGAGTGTCACGGAGCGATGGACAAGTCTTGATCAAGTTCGTAATGATGAACTCAGTGGACTCATTCAGTTCGATGTAAACCTGTCCTTGAGCATCTTTGCGAGCTGTTGCCGTACTAGCACAGGCTGGTAGAGCTCCTGAAGGGAAGAGTACATCTTATAACCAGGCTTGTAGAAGGATCTACCTGATGACTTGTAGGACAGTTGCATGTCCTCCTGAAACCCATCTACCACAATCTCTTTGTGGAGCTTGGTAGGAGCAGGTGACACATAGCGACGCTTAGCCTGTACTGCCTTCGAAGAGAGCACAACTTGAGGAGGGTCAGCAGGAAGAGCGGAATTCTTCCTCACCCGCCGCTCGTATATGTTATCCATCTTCCAGAAAGCGAAGGGAGAACAACTCATCAGCACTGTATTCGATAAACGAACGACTCGACTACAGGACAACCACCCGTATTTATACAAGGCAGAGACGGAGGCGGGTTGAAGTGATAAAATATGTGTCAGCTAGGTCAACCAATCACCATCAAGCCCGCCAAAAACATTTGACCACTCAGCATTGAGCCCACCAAAAACATTTGACCAACCAGCATCAAACCCGCCAAAAGCATTTTGTCCAATCAGCGGCATGCCCACCAAAATCATATCTCATCTTAAAGATTCCTTACATGATACCGCCACTCTAGTGAACTGATACAGTATGGAAATACGATCAGAGTCAAACGTGTGCAAGTTCTGAATCACGTGATCAAGTGAATAGGTTTCCCAACAATAGGCATCAATCAATGATGCCATAAGAGATGTATCAGATGGAGATAAAATCAGCAAATTCGTACGCAACGTGGACAGTTGAGAAGAAGACACCATCCTGGTCGACTCCATGGGATGCAGTACATATAGGAGTGGAAAATGCTGAGGAAGAGGTTTCATGATTCGACTGAACCTCAACCATGATACATTG